GAGGCTTTAAAGAGGCAACTAGCAAAAGTAAGTGGTGGAACCAGAGCTGCAGTGTGTGCTGCACACCTGCCATTTGCACTGACACACAGGATGAAGGTCAGCAAGTTAGCATCCTTCTCTCTGGCCTCAGTTCTTTCCTCAATAAAATGAAGGGGACCATGCCCACCTGCTTCCTGGAGACTCTAGGGTCTTAATAACTCTGATGATCACAAAAAACCAGTTGCCGCCAAGCTGACTCTGACTCATCGTGACCCCATGTGTGTCAGAACTGTGCTCCATGGCTGGTTTTTCAAAAGTAGATCACTGGTTTTTCAAAAGCAGATTTCTTCTGAGGTGCTCTGGGTTGACTTGAACCTCCAACCTTTCAGGTAGCAGTCAAGTGCACTGCCATCTGCACCACCCAGGGACTCCAGGAAACTCAGTATTTTCCACAAGCAGCTACCCTGGGTGACGGCGCTGCCTACCCCTTCATGACTCCGCAGCAGGTCTGGATGCTGCCTGCAGGGTAAGTCTGGAGTCTGCCCACCCATCACTGGATGGAAAGGGCAAAGGGTGTTCCCTTCTGCCCCATACCCAGTCTCCCTTACAAAGAATTCATTGTGCGGTTCTCAATAGGAGGCTCTATTTGATGGTAATAATAATATTTTCTGCTGCTGACGTGTCATCTCCATTTTTAAACTAGGAATATTCGGCTACGTTTCCCTCTGTGGGCAGTGCCACTGCAGACAGGAACGGAGCCTCCACTCTAAACTTCTGCAGTTTTCCTGGATGAAATTATGACCTTCCAGCCCCCTGGTCCTGAGGTAACCCCTATGACGTAGGGAACACACAGCAAGGGGGAAGGTGAAGACACATCTTCAGGTGCAGGATACGGCCAGGAGAAGAGCCAGAAAGATGTCAGGGAGGAGAGCGCAGGTGGTTTTCATACAAATTTACTTAAGCTGCTTGTTTCTGCAAGCAGCAGCGGCACATCAAGTTTTTACTTTCATCTGTTAAAAATGTCCTCAAACATTTATTTCTGGTACCAATACCCATCAAAGGAAGCAACAATCTCATTCAAGGAGCAGCTTTCAGGTACCAATTAAGTCACCTTAACTTAAGCTATTCCTCTTTGCAAGTTTCCCTCTTTATAAAGCCACAACTCACCAGAATTTATGACTGGAAAAGAGGAAAAAAAAATTTTATCCCATCATTCTTTATTATCACTATTTGTCTCCTAAGGACAGGAAGCCTAGTGAAAACTTTCTATATAAGTCAGTCACCGTAGGTGGTTATTTGCAGGAACAGTTAATATTTTTCTCAGATTACGAAAGCAATGGAGTTAAAACCAAAGACACAAGGAAACACTAGTCCAAAGGACTAATGAACCACAGCCTCCACCAGCCTGAGCCCAGAAGAACTAGATGGTGCCCGGCTACCACTACTGACTACTCTGACAGGGATCACAATAGACGGTCCCGGACAGAATGGGAGAAAAATATAGAACAAAACTCAAACTCACAAAAAAGACCAGACTTACTGGTCTGACAGAGACTGGAGGAACCCTTCAGACTATGGCCTCCAGACACCCTGCTAACTCAGAAATGAAGTCACTCCCGAAGTTCACCTTTCAGCAGAAGATTAGACAGGCCTATAAAACAAACAACACGTGAGGAACATGTTTCTTGGTTCAATCAAGTATGCAAGACCAAATGGGCAACACTTGCCCTAAAGCAAAAACAAGAAGGCAGGAAGGTACAGGAAAACTGAACAAATAGACACAGGGAACCCGGGGTGGAAAGGGAAAGGGGAGAGTGCTTAACACATACGGGGGATTGCAATCAATGTCACAAAATAATTTGTGTATAAACTTTTGAATGAGAAACTAATTTGCTCTCTAAACTTTTACCTAAAGCACAATAAAATTAAAAATTAAAAAAAAAAAAAAAAAAACACTTGAGAGCAAACGAATCCTGTTCCCAGGCATCTATAGGAATCAGCTTGCTACTGTGGGATTAGATTAACGCAGCATGAAAAAAGGAGAAAAAAAAAGCAATGGAGTTTTGGGAATAACCACTCTGACCACACCAACAATTACTTTTATTCTTTGAGCTTTGCTCATTAAATCCGCTACTTTTCACCCTAATTTATTACATCACAGATTCCACATTAAAATGTGATTGCCTTCTCTCTGACTAAGCAGAGCCAGCACTCTTGATTTTCCACTTCCCCTTCATTACAGATCTGCCCATGAAGCCATCTGCTGCCTATTCCAGGCCTCTGGGCCAGGTGACATTCTCAGCAGGGGTGGAGGCATCCCTCATCCCTACACAGAAGGAACCTGCTTAGAATGAAGGGAAAAAAGCTCACAGCCCCTGGGGGAGAAATGCTGAAGAGAAAGTCAGGGGGCACTGAGCTTCTTCTGTTAAGGATGATGGCGGAATCTGGGTGATGGTTAAACAACATAATGAATGTGACGAATGTCAATGAACTGTACAAGTGAACACTGTTGAAATGTCAAATGTTTGTTATATATATATTTACTACAGTAAAAAAACAGAAAAAAAAGAGAAAGTCGGGGGGCTGGCAAGAAGGGATCTGTCTGTGTAGCCACAGGGGTGGGGGGGAAGGAAGGCAGGGAAAAGACAAGAGGCAGCTAGCGGCCAAAGACTGGGCCAAGTGTGAGGAGTGAAAAGGCACATTTAGGAATGCATGAGAGGAGAAAACAGACTGATGGGGTCTTTCCAATAAGTCTCAGAGAAAACAGGGCCTTTATGTATCTGCTGAGAGAAGTGCATTTGATTAGAGGCAAACTGTCCCCAAGCTCAGTGAATCATCACATGTGCGAGCTGGAAAGGACATCGGGCGTCAACTCAGGCAAATCCTTCATTGTGCAGATGATGAGCCAGGGTTCGGAGAAGCGAGGCAACTTGCCCAACGCCACATAGAAGTTCATGTCAGAGGGACACCAGAACTCCAGACTCCTGGCTGGGTGCACTTCCCACTGCAAAGGGCTCCCCGCTCGGCAATTCCACAAATGGTAGAAGTCACTGACCACTCACTTAGGAAGTATTATTTATGGCTTATCAGTACTCTACAACCAACGCGGGGGCCTACAGAGCCCTGCACGGCAGCCCCAAACTGAGGGAGATTATAACCTGGACTTGGCCTTCCTGGTTGACATGGAAGGAGCTTATGCTTCTCCAAGCTCAGGTATTACTCCACAGCCAGCCCTGGAGGAGGAGCAGAAACACCACCGGTGCCACGTGAGGACTGACAAAATGATAGGCCTCTGCACTAGGGCAGAGTCCCAAGGTTTGTGTCAAAGGGCTCTCCCTTGGGAATGGCAACCACTAGGAAAGAAGGTAATATGTGGAGCAAGACAGAAGTAATGAGGCTTAAACTCAGGGGCTCTTCCTGAAGAGACTTGGCAGTGATGAGAATGCTGAAACAGGAGCACGCTGTCTTGATCCTTCAGACACGGCAGCCAGGACAGACAGAGTGCCAGAAGGTGAGCATGTGATTTCCAATGCAGGGAGCTCAGGCTAGGAGGGGATGGCAAAGTAATGTTCTCCTAGTCCAGGTAAGACAGAAAAGAAGACGCTTAGAGAGACAGACCCCCAAAGCCACAGACAGAAGACGATCATTCTGAAAATGCTGCCTCTTCCTAACCATTAAGGTAGGTTTCCTGAAGCATAAACTAGCTATGTTTTTTTGGCTTTTACCCTCTTCGGAATTCAACTGTTAGCTTCAAGACAGAGTGTATGTTGACTTCCACTCTTGGATAAAACGTTGGTTTGTTGTTTTTTAACTATGTGTCTGACAAGCATTGTGTACCTTGCCTACCTCCTCAAGAGCAAAATGAGATTTGTCAAAGGACAATTAGTAGGCACACTGCAAACTGAAAATTTGCAAGCCAATTCATAACATGTGTATAGTAACTCTAGCGAATACACTCCAGATGTGCCTAAAAGAAAAGTACAAAGCCCTCGGAGCAATACCTGAAGGCAGGGCTGGCTGTCAGCACCCTACCCTGAGAATAGAGGCTCTTGGTCAGCTCTGCAGCCTCCTAGGTGCCAAGCACCAAGCTGCAGGTGACAAGGGAGCTGAGTAGAAGGGTATGGCTCTCTCAGTGTGGAACCCAAACTTTAAAAGTACAATGTAACATGCATGTCTTGTAACCATCAGGCAATCTTCACGTCTAAACAAAAAAAAACAGCTGCCATCGAGTTGATTCCAACTCATGGCTGCCCCATGTGTGTTAGAGTGGGACTGTGTTCCATAGGATTTCCAATGGCTGATTTTTTAGAAGTAGATTGCCAGGTCTTTCTTCCAAGGCACGTTTGGGTAGATTCAAACCACCAACCTTTCAGTTAGTAGCCGAGTGCTTAGCCATTAGTGCCACCTAGGGATTCCATCTTCATATCTAGAGAACAATTAATATCTGGGGTCCTTCTCCAAGCAGAACTACCCAATTCCTTTTATGTCAAACCCAGGCTAGGAATTATCCCCCATTTGGCTTTCCCATCAGTGGAATAGAGGTTCCTGGTTCAAAATTTCACTTGCTGTACCCCATCTTCATTCTGAGAAGATGCATTCACAGGAGTGTTTTAAAAATCAAAATCAAATTCTTAGAAGCAAAGGCTCAAAATTGATAGCTCTGAGGATTACTCCCAATGCGATATTGTTAAAGTTATCACAATCAAATTATATGGGGGGGGGGGGTGAGAAAAACAAAAGTTCTCCACCACAGAAAGCAAGAAGTCATTCCTTTTATCCTACTGAAATGCTCGAGAAAGCCAAACCATATTCTCAAGATTCAACTGGAGAATTCACAGTACGATAGAAAGCAAAGGTAAGGAAACAAGACAAACAACTGCACACCCCCAGCCCCTTATCTGGCAGATTAAACCACTGGTCAGTTCAGCAACTTTCAGAAGGAAAGAACCAAACAACACAGGCTCATTTTAAAATTATAATGGTTCTCAAGCACTAAAATTATTATTTTTAAATTCTCTTACTGATCATGGTGGTTCCCCCAGCCAGGGACGCCTTGGTCCCTTGGAAGAAGTCATCAGCAGAGGTCATTCCCTGGTCAGGCATCTGGAAACGGGTATGGACATCAATTCCTCCCGGTATCACCATCCTCGAATGGGCTTCGATCGTCTTCACCCCTCCCGGCACAATCAGATTTTCTCCTATTTGCCTAAGTAAACAGCGTCGGTGATAATGGTTGTAAATGAAACGTCTTATCAAATTGGATCTGACAGATAATTTCACCAAGTCATAAACTATCCTTCCCTATGCTCCATGGACTTCCCGATTATTGTTATTATTCACAATATGAGCACTCGTCACTCCCAACTAAGAGGCAATGCAGTAGAATGGTTGCACAACTTGAAGTATGTAATCAATGTCACTGAACTGTACGTGTTGACATTGTTAAATTGGTTTATGTCCTGCTGTGTATATTCTCAACAACAAATATACATAATTTTTTTAAAAAAAAGTCAATGCAGCATAGACTAGAAGACAAAATTTAAATAAGGCATCAGAGACCCCATTTAAACAGGTTAGTTACCAGAAAACTCAGAGCAAAAGATAACAAGGTCCCAAGATATTTACGTCATTAAACTTTCTTTAGAATATACGTAATTGAGCTAATTATCCCACAGCAATTTTATCCAAGCCTGGTTTCACTTTACAAACATTCATCTTCACTGTATCCATTTCAATATAGAGAAGACAGGGGTGGAGGCATGGGGATGGACCAAAACAATGTAAAAGAATAGAGTGAAGACAATGATTGAAATGGTTTTAAACATTTGGAAGCATATGATTAACAACTCAGAAAACAAAGGCAGAAGAATAATCATTGTGTTGGGGAACATGACTCACTGGCAATTTTTAAAAATACTGTTACTACTATACCTTTTACCCATTTTTTTAAAAGGAAATTAATCACAGAGTAGTTGATGAAGTTCAAAAAGAAATTAGTGGCAACTAAAAATAGCACACAGGTCTGCTAACTTCTAGGCCAGTGTCTTTCTGCTACACCAGATCACGCTGTCTTAGAACATGGGGTGAAAGAGAACACGAAAGTTACGGCATTTGAAAGCCAGGAGCTGAGACTGTCACCAGCAAACATACATGAAGAAAACATTAAACATGGAAATATTAACACCTCTTTTAAGTTCATAAATCAGAATAAGTTTCCAGGCAACAGTCACATTCAATCCAGTTTTCCACTCCCCCGGACTTGGTGTGCTGCTAGCACTTGATGAATGCTGCTTATTTAAAAGATGTCATTTGCTGCAATGTTTGTCTTTAAACAGATGTGCTATTTCTCCAGAGCCATGTGAGCTGTCCCAGTAGGAATGGCATGACAATACTGGTATGTACTCTGCTTCCTTAACCCACCAGGGTCCAAAAATGCCCTAAATCAGTATCTGCTCTATTTTTCTCCTCTGTAACACAATACACAATAAACACAAGAGTAGTCTTTATTTGTGTGAGGTGCCACTTAAAGAAAGAAACCTAAAATTCTGTCAGGATTAGGCAGTAATTTGTCTCTGTTACATGGTAATTAACTCGGTGTCCTTCTTTGGCCTCTCCAACTTAGACTCTTGATTAAGAAAGCACATGTGCTATCCTGATAGAAGAGGCTGTGTCCCATTCCACATCTGTGTCCTTTGACTGGACAGCTCATCCCAAATAACTACATTCTAAGAAAACCTTTAATACAGTCCCCGTATCATAAACCAAGTACTTGAACTGGCCACAGGAAGACACTGTGTCACCTCAGTTAAAATTAGTACATTACATGATCATGCATTATGAAATGGGTACTCATTTAATTATGGCTTCTGAATTCCCTAACTCTGGAGTTTTCAAACTTACCAATTACCACCAATCAAAATAGTTTTAAAACAGATTATTAGGCTGGTCACTCTTTCAAGTCACCAAATCTTGATAACATGTGTGTGAATTGTAGGTAATATTTTGGAGTACTGAAAGGTATGCAAATACTTCTATATAACAAGTTACTTACTTGATCAACCCATCTTCCATGTATATGTCTGCATAGAATGACTGGTCATCGTTAACAATTTTACCTCCTTTGATCAGAAGTCGATCACTCTGAAACAAAGAAGGAGGAAGGTCACGATGAATAACGGACCTGTGAGAAAGGAAATCAAAAGTAACACTGGTACAAAGATAAATGAGCTAACGACCCACCTTCACTATTCAAGTCATGTTCACAAGAAGCCAGTTTTAGAAAGGTTCAGTGACAAAGGTAAATCTGTACTCGGCAACCTATGCTTCACCTGATGAGTCAGAACATACTGGCAATGCTTATCATAGGTAAATGAACCATCTCTTAACTAGACAGTCTTCCATTGAAGAGCAGTGATAAAGAACACAATAATTTTTTAATGGCTTTAGACTAAACTTCACTAAAAAAAAAGAAAAAACACCAACATAAAGGGAAAGCACTTCTTGGCAAGGTTTGTGTCAGGGAAATTCACCAAAAGTCTGTTGTCATGGGATCCGCTACACAAACACACTTAGTTCAACCATAGCAAAGTTTCAATACAATATGTCCTTTACATTTACATTTATCTTTGAGGTAAATCACAATGATTGTAACAAAGAGGGAAAAAAAAAACTTCAAAAAAAGACCATTTTAACTATTAAGCTGTTAAGAAAAAGGTAAAGTTTTATGATAAAGAAGCTGAAATAGCAAATTGCAAAATTTAACACCCACTATGAGTTGTTGATGTATTTCTATTTTAATTTTTGGTATTTGTGCACTGCAGGACTCGGCAGTGTTTCGTTCTGTTGTACACAGGGTCGCTGAGTCTGAACCGACTCAATGGCACCTAACAACAACAATCTGTGCAAAAAATGTATGACAGGCAGCATGTGAGGCCAGGAATATAACACAAATGCTACATCATGACTCATCACTATCCCAAACACTGTTGATGGAATGCAATGTTAAAATCCTGTGTTCAAGTGGATATGCACCTGCACTATTCCAGACTGGGTTTAAACCTTGCGAATTGAATCACATATTTATTTCTCTGTTAATATGCAACACATTTGAAATGATGGCATTCATTTTGGCAATACTTAACTCAAAATTCAGTTACAAAACAATGAAGCCAGCGCTATTTATAGCACTTACCAAGAAAAGAAAATTACAGCAAATCTCTAAAAAATGTAAGCTACTAGAGAACTAATAGTTATTTTTACACACAAGTGCACACACACCTGGGTTTAGAAATCATTTACTGTTTCTCTAACACATTGGAAAACAATAAGATCATTTTAATTTTGTACACTGTGGGGCCCTTTATCCTGCTATAGACTTTAGACAGTCAAAAGGGAATAAACATTCAACAATTCCTGTACTTGTATAAGGTAAAGGCCTTTACAAAATTCTGCCATGTACATCATGTCATCAGAGCCTCAAAACAAATCTGTGGACAAAGCCAGATCCTTATCTGTATGGTGATAAGAAAACTGAAGCTCAGAGAGGTTAAGCCACTTGCCCAAGGTAACCTGATTTTCTGTCTACACTCTTGCCCTCTTCTCTCCAAGTCACTACTTTTGACAGGATAAATCTCACCTTGGAGGCAAGGGGGAGTCCTGCCCTTCACCACCTGCTCCCTTAGTCACTGCAGTACCTGTCCCAGCTATCACAATTCCCAAGCCAATATCAGGCCGAGAAAAAAAAAAATGAAGCATCACAGTTCGGTTCACTCTAGTGCCTTCCAGAGGCTTCTTACCTAAGAGGCTGGTCTTGGTGATGGAGGGAGGGAAAAAATGCTATAGGTCCTATGCTAACGCGAGCAGATTTTCTTACGGTGGGGGGGCGCACTTTTAAAAATGAGTCTTGTTGATGGTTTGCTTTTAATTTTTTTCCTCCCCCACACTGTCAAAACGAAACTGCCTTATTCATTCACAAAGACAGCAGAATTATTCGATGCTTGCAGCAAATCTGCTCCCCACCCCCACGCCTCAGACTCTCCAGACTCCTTCCTCCAGTGCAGGAAACAACAATTAATGTTAGGTCCCCCAAGCCCAGCCCTTTTGAATCTTGGGTGTTTTGCCTTCAAGCAAAAGCTAGCTAGTACGTACCGAATTCTCGCTGTAGAACCACCTAGTTTACCTAGAAAATGCTCCCGAGCACACGCCCCCTCCCCTGTGCATTCGTTCCCACATTCTCCTGCAGATGGGTGTGCCCTTGTGCATCGAGAGGAAGCCCGGGGAGCCCCTGACTAAAAAGAAAACCGGAAAGCGAAAGCGTGCCCCCAAATCCAGCCCTTAAACACATCTTGACTGTTTTGATTCTTACAGTTCTCTGCCTCAGCCCGGGGTTCTACCCAGTAATCAGCCGGCCAATTGCAACTCCACATCATTATATAACAATAAATTTCCCTCGCTTTCATCCTTCCCTGCGATTTCACTCGGGGATGCACTGAACTAAAACTTACGAGATTTTTCCAGGAAAAGATGGGGGGGGGGCGCCAAGAACCTGCGTTCATCTCTGAAGCATCGCAAATTCACCTCATAGATGTTTTTTCTCATGATTTAAAAAATAACAATCACAGGCCCCCGGCCGTTACCATCATTGTCTGGCCGGGCCGGGGCCAGGCCATCTGCTCGGCGCGTCCGCGCAGCGCCATTACCTCCCCGACCCAGCTCGGGCGCTGTCCCCTGCGCCCACCTCCCAGCCGCTTTGTATGCGCCAACACCGACGCCTCCTTGGCGGCAGAAGAGGCAGCAAGAGACCAGAAAGAGAGACCAGAGCCCTGCCAGGGTCTCAGTCTCAAACCAGAGGGCGAGAACACCGAGAGCCACCAAAAAACGGTCTCTGGTCAACAAAAAGCCAACGCGGGGCCCTCACACTCCTGCTTGGCTCAACACTGCGTCCCTGTTTTTCCTGCCTGTCTTTACATCATTCCGGTACACTCTGCCCTTCCAGCATCCTTCTGCTGTCAATACGCCTCCGGGCTGAAACCAGCTCCTTTTTCTAGGGAGCCCGAGGAAGGCTCGAGAACGCCCTTTATCGTGGGGAAGGAGACACGGGGATATCCACTTCCCCATCTTCCCATCGCTGCTCCAGGAATCTAGCCTCGCAGCACGCAGCCCGGAGAACAATATCCGAGCTCCAACCATGCATATTCAATCTGGCATCCATTTGCTTACTCCCCGCAGGCCTGCACTGCAGCATCTCGCTGACAATAAAGGACACACGGTTCTGGCGCGCTACCTAGAGCGACTTAATGACTTACGCTCCTATTTTAATTCCTTGCAAATTGTGCCTTATCATTCTTTATTATTCTGTCCCCACCACCACCGCCGCCGCCACTGCCTCTTTAGCAATAGGGAGAAAAAAAAAAAAGTTGCGTCCCCCTCCCTCCATTCCCCCACCTCCATCCTTTTTAAAAATTCCTTAGATGTTCTGTACCACAAAAGGTTGCTGGCAGACCGCAGATTTCCCAAATACCAAACTCACCGTGATGCGTGGAATATTTTTCTTCCCCTGATAAGACATCTCTCTCCTGGGAAAAAATAAATTTTAAGAAGGCAGCTTTAAAGCAAAAACTCCCGGGAAAGGGACTTAGTATTTTTGCGGGATTGAAAAAAGATGCAATCGCTTAGCTGGTCTTGCTGGTAGCAGATTTAGGGAACGTAGACAACAAATGCAATCCTTTGCCTGTCTCTCTTTCTTCCTCTCTTCCAACACAGCCCCAGTCAGGGCGGAAAAAAAGAGAGAGAACAGGAGGGAAGGGGGTGGAAATAAACTACAGCAATAAAAGCCTCGGTTCAAGTCGGCCTCCGCGGCGCATGCGCCGACAGCCACTCCCTTTCCTCTTAGCAAAAGCCATCCGCTTCGAGAGAGACGAGCACTGATTGGCCAAAATCGTGGGATATGTAAATAAGGCAAGCGGGGAGGGGAGCAGTGAGAAAGCGCGAAATGCTGCAGTGAGAGGCCGAGGGCGGCGGTCAGTGCGTGCGCCGGAGCTGGGAGCGCGCGTTTCGCGCCCTTTTTTGGGGTCTGGGCAGAGGGAAATAATAGCTGGCGCCAGCCCCAAATGCAGCTTCAACAACGCAAGGACAACGGAGGGGTGATCATTACGAACAGGGAGAGCAAAAAACCCAAGGCGGCTGGGGCTGTGGTGCAGCTTTTGCAGCACACACACGCTCGCGTGCGCACAGATGGATGCCCCCCCGCGCTCCAATCCGCGGAGGCTGCCGCTGCATCCCTGCGTGGGGTGACTGCGCAGAGCCAATGGCTTCGCTGGCGGCGAGCTCGCGACTGCACCGCTGGCCGGCGCTACGCGGCCCGGGAGGGGCGGCAAAGGCCTCCTCCCACCCGTCCTTCCCTTTCGCGAAGGCTTTCTTGGCCTCCGCCCCGGAATCGACTGGGGAATTCAAATTGCTGCGAAAAGAGGGAAGGCCAGCCGGGCGGATAGGGAGCTTAGATGCGCAGAGCCGACCACGCCCGTCCTTCGCCGAGACCGAGAAAAGGTCGAGCTGGACCGGTGCCTGCATGATGATGCTGCACCGGGGAGAAGTCTGACGCCGGGGCTGTCTGCGCCTGGGAGCCGGCATCGGCTCCCTGCAGTCCGGGAGGTGGGCGTGGGGAAGAGAAGAGGCTGGAAGAAAAGAAATCTAGCCTGAGGGCAAGGGCTGCTCTGGGCTCCGGGCATCTGTTGCCTGGCAGCTGGAAATGAAAGTCCGAAATCCTTTTTCGGAGCGGGGAAAAGGAGGAACTCTGAGGAAAGCTGTAGTCAGATGCTGGGTATGGGAAACCCTGCCCTGAATCGTTCTTTTGTGCCTTCAGGCCACCAAGAACTGTGAGGGTACGGGCACACACACACACAAAGTGGCAGCAGCCTGTTGAGGCAAAAATGGCCCATTCTAGGGCCCTGTTCTCAGCCCCAGCAAGCCAGTGTTTTAACAGTAACGTCCACCTTGACCCGCTATGCTGGTGCCTGCAAATCTGTTGAGGAAAAGCTGTTAGAATTACAGCGCCCAAGGAACCCAAAGGATTTACTGTACTATAGACAGTACCCCACACTACATGAGGCAGAAATCAAGGAGAAGCATGTAGGATTGAAAGTAAGAAGAGCAGGGGAAACTGAGTCATGGAGAAAAATCTCCGGGAATCAGAGTTTAAAACAACATGAGAGTCCTGACTCCGCAGAGATTCTAGTCACACTTAAAATGGCATTCAAGGCTTCTCTTCTTGTCTCCAGTAATTGAACAGGCCCGGGAGCCCCTGGCTTTGTCGGTGCAAGTCAGGCTCTAATGCTCTAACTTTCAGAATCCCTGTGGAAAGAAAAAGCTGATCCAGGTGATCCCGGAGAATCTTTGGTCTACCATGGGTCAACCCTCTGGAGGCTTGTCCAGGCAAATACGTACATGATGGAAACATCTAGATTGGCCTATGGCTTTGGTCTTCTTTGCTTGAGATCAAATAGCTAGAATCCCTACATAATCTAGGCCATCAAGTAGTGATGAAAAAAGAAAAAAAAAAAAAAAAAGAATCTTTTTAATTGGATCACACCAACTCAGCAAAGATAAGCCAGATATATTCAGAGTAATCCTCTGGGCCTATATTCCAGTGTCTTTCTGCACCTGACCACCCTGGCCACTTTGGATGGTTGTCTGTCTTTACAGACCAAGAGAAGGCATGAATTCACCCTTTAACTCCGACTTTGTAAAATCTGTAGTCCCAGAAAGGGGCTGTGGGTGAGTGGGCATGCAATTAAGACTTCACTGCTGGTTAATTCATTTAAATTCAGTTTAGCTATGCATCTTGAAAATAAAATGAAAGTACTTCCCCCTCCACTTATCTGATGTGCTACAAAGAAAGTGAGTTGATGTCAGCAAGTCCAGCTGTCAGCCAGTAATGGTTAAAGTCACAGGTCTAACAAAGCATAAAACGTTCCTACCCATGAATGCCAACAGTAGTTTCCAGCTAGGAGTGTTGGGGGTAGGGGAGGGGATCAATGAGCCGAGTATTCTATTAAAGCATAAGAAAAATACCACTTGTCAAGCAAATAAATAACGAGATTCAATTTAAAGCAAAAATTCCCTGTAATTATATTGTTTATGTATATTCTTGTTATATTTTCCTACTCCTGAATTGTTTGCTCTTAATGCAATTTAAATATATCTTGTTTTTTATCAAATTTGCCCATTGAGTATTTTGTAATACAAGCTCCAAAGAGGGTTGGCAGTGTGTCAGTCTTATTTCCTTACAGCTTTATTTGCTATGAGCTTATTAGTCTATGATAATCGACATTTCCACTCATAAACATCCAAAGATGTGAGGTTTAAATTGATCTGTCTTTTCTGACTAGAGCCTAAGAGAGCAATTGGCACATTGAAGATATCCATCAAATAGGTTTTTAATTGATTAAGGAAAAGAGCTGTCTGCAATGCAGTCTGTATTTCTTACCCACCCCCCATACTTACCACTGAATGCAATATGGAAAACTAACAAGGGGAGGGGAGGATTTCCACCCACTCTGCACAGATAAACTTGTTAGTGCAAGCTATTTTTTTACATTTTGTTTAGAAAAACACTAAATGAAAATTTCCTGTAAAGTTACAAATAATTATTATTGCATCAAACATTTGAACCTATTCTCAGGTGTGATTTTTCTGAATTTTAAGAAATTAAATGCATGCCAAACATGAAAAAGATTGAAAGATTGCCTATTTCACACCCGTGACCCCATCCCAAACATCCCTGCCTTCCCATACACCTCCCCTACCACCAGTGAACAGCAAGATGTAGTAACTAATTGACATGGTCGTTTAATGAAAGGGTTAGATCCCGGCATTCTGGATGGCTTGAGGACAAGGAGAACGTGCCCAAGCTGATTCATGGGCGAGCAGTGAATTTTACCCAGGGACCGTATCACAGTCTGACCACAGCCTCCTCTGCAGCTTCATCTTCCATCCCTAGAGCCCCCTACCTAAATGGTGCACACAGGCACACACCCACACCCACACACCATCAGAGCCCACCTTTCCCTGCCCCTCAGGGCATCTTCTCAAATCTGCGCCTTTTCCTAGGCTATTCTCTTTACCTAGGATGATTCTTTCCCTATCCCCTTGACACACCCTTTAAAGTTGAACTTAGATGTCACCTCTGCTGTGACGTTCCCCATCCGGCTCCCTACTGTATTCCCTATAAATGGACATTATATCCCCACGTAATGCATGGTAATTATTTGTCCGTTTCTTCTATCAGAAGCTAAGAAGCTCCTAGAAGCTAAGAGCCTTGTCATCTCACTGCAGTGACCCAGCACACTGCCAGATCCACAGCAGGTGCATAAAGAAATGCTGTCATTGCTGTTACAGGAAGAAAAGGCTCACTTCGTCTCCCCACGTCACCACCATAGTGAGTTTTGATGCTAACAAAATCCCCAACTCAGCCCTCTCTCTCAGCACTTGGCCTTGCTTGGTCTTCCTCCTTGGCAGCCCAGCCCAGTCCCGGGGCAAGTCTGTGGCTGTCCCAGCCTCCTCTTCTCCAAGTCCCGAAACTGCAAGAGAACCTGGTTATAACACAGCATATCATCCTTCACATGGGTGTAGCTGCCTAAAGTTTAATCTGTGCCTCTCCTAAACAAAACTGCCACCGCATCCCCCCAAGCCTGATAAAAGACAGGGAGAGAGCATCAGTCCTAAAATGAACCCCCAGAATTATACAGAGCATCTCTAGTGATCTTTTTCTCAGAAACAATTTCTTAAATTGTTCTTTTCTCCACCTTCCCATTACGCTGTGTGCATACCTATATTGTGTATCAGTTATCCTATCTATCATACTATGCACCTATACTACACTATACCACATTCTTCCACCTATACTACACTTACCTATACCATAACTAGGTAAGCCTATGTCCGCATCATCTTTCCTCCCTTTAAAATTTGAGCTCACAAAGAGTAGGTGCTCTTCAAAAGTCTAACCCCTCTTATTTATGTAGGGCCTGAGAGAGAGTAGGGCCTCAAAAAGAATTGAATGCATGGGTGGATAAACCACTAATGACAGCTAACCAGGATCTTCAAAAATGGTATAATCATACCACTTGCTGGGAAGTGAGGGCCAGGGAGGTGATGTCTGTCACTCAGACATTTGGGTGTGACCTGGCTGCTTTCAGTTCCTCAGTCCCCTACCCAGTCAGTGCTGTGTCCCGGGCTACTTCCACCATTGCTCTTGGTTTCATCTTCCCCATTTGTGAAGACAGAGTAACCATTTCTGCTTCTGTAGCCCACTGGGCCTCTTGGAAATGTCGGGAAATTAATGTTACAGAGGAGAGAAACTCCACAACATAAATTGCTGACAGGAAAAACAGAGCCTAGATGCGGCAAAGAAGAAAAATACACGATCTTCACAATGCGGCAGTTCAATGCCAAGGGATGTGGCCTCAAATGCAGCCTGCAGGGAAGGTTCAAATTAATGCAGTGGTAAAGCGAAGGTACCAGAATTTTTCTTTGCCAAAATCTAAGGGCATTGATTGGACACTTGAGCTGGAAGTGATGCCATCTTCACTGCAGATAGAATCAGGCAATTAAGGTAATTTTCTTTGGGTGTGTAACCCCCAAAGGGGCAGAGACTACAGGGGGAGACAGTCAGGAATTGTCCCCTCCCTTTCCCCATTGTTGCATCCTGAGGTGGCAGGGTATAGACTGATGAGGGTCTCTGAGACAGATGCTACTTTTGCTAAAGTTGGACAGACTATTGGCCAACTCACTGGGGGCTGTGAAAGCATCCCCATGAAGTCCTGACTGCATAAAAATATGAGGCATATCTGTGGAAATCCTGTCGAACATACCGCACAGAGGAAAATGTGCACTTCACAGAATCTAGTACAATCTGGCTGTTTCATCTTATCTCCAGTCAGCATACAAGTCTTCTAAATAATCACTGCATTACCTAGCTTGCACATCACCCGCTGTGCGACTACAGGTTTTCCTTGGGGTCTTTTTGCCAGAACTGGAGAAGCAGACTGCACCTTGCTCCGGCCGTTATGCCTCAGGCCTGCCCCCTGGTGGCGAATGAGGAGCATGCATTTGGGTGCTCCGCCTTCCCCCGTCTGCGCTTGTCTCTGGAGTCCTGCACCCAGGGATAGG